TGCAGTCTCCCTAGTGACAAGACAACGACAAGTGACAACCATAGGGAAAAAAGGAGACTACATCATCGTCGGGAGCCCTGTTCCTAGCAAGTGCACTTCCTGGGCTCAGAGGCCTCGGGCCGACACGGCTTGAGCCAAAATGGCTACTACTACTACTACTACTACTACTACTACTACTACTACTGCTACTAGCACGACTACTGCGAGGCGACGACCACTACGACTACGACTACGACCACTACGACAACGATGACGACGAACATGACGACAACCGCGACGACCAGTACAACTGCCACCCACTACCACTACCACCACCACTACAAGTGCCACCACTACCCCGACGACCAGTACCGGCAACAGCACCACGACGACGAGTACTGGCAACAGCACCAGCACGATTGCTGGTGAGAGTGCTAGAGCCAGTACTGCACACAGTACTACCACCTTAAACCGTACCCCTAAACCCCAAGCCCTAGATGCACTTCTGCTTGTCCTCTACTACGGCCACGTCCTGCGTAAACTATTGCAACTTCCTGCGAGGAGTCCTGGGGCTCGGAAGAGGACAGATCCAGTTTGCGGAGGCGTGTTGCCTTTGCACACCATCCTGCACCCAGAGACCTATTGGGTAGACAGCGTTTCAGCTCAGCCAGGGCTGTCGCGGCCTGCCAGAGGGCTGGAAGGGGGAGCAGCAGCGAGAGTCATGGTTAGCAGCTGCTCTTGCTTCTAGACTTGTAAATGCTGCTGCCATTATGTGAACCCGGCTTGAGGATTGGGCCGGATCGGTTGGGTTGTTGCATCCGTCGTCGCACTAACAGCGGTAAGACCCCACATCAGTGAAAGACATCGGTGAAGGTCTATATTATTGATTTCATTTTGCACCTTGGAGTCGGAAAACCATGCTAGCCGGGTCGCAGGCTCTTGATCACGGCCTTTCCATCGGCATCGCACCAATGACGGAATGCACCAACGAGAGTCTCCTGTCGCTTCTGGCTCAGCCGCTCGGTGATATTTTGAAGCTTAAGACTAGGCAGATACATGAGGTGCCCCAAAGCTTCGATCGTCTTGTCACAATTACCGAGGTCGTCACCACTGGCATCAAGCGGCTTTTTTGCTCCTAATGATTTACCGTTTTGCCACCAACAAAGCCAGTCCAGGCCACTCCACAGAAACTGGGTCTCAGCTTCTCAATTCTCAGTGTGCTGTGATGCACCGTCCGCACGGTCGAGTGAAGTCAAAAAAAGGAAAGCAAACGCCGGAACAACGCATTGCATGTTCGGAAAGATTCCAGATTCACCGACTGAACGTTCTCAAAACAAGCCAGGATCTTCTTGCTAGCACCGTCCACAATCTGTGGCTCCGAGACGTTCCGGCGTCTATTCTTGGTTGTTTACTTCTTTCGGCTGCACCCATCAGCTGCCT